AGCCCAGCAGCTCCCTTGCCTTCGTACCTCCCAGGTCATGGGGTCTCACTAACTGGAAAGTGAGAGAAAAAATTTGAGGTTTTTATGGTGTAGATCTAACTCTCTACAAGCAGTGTATGCCAGCCATGGGTAAAGGAGTGTATTTCAACACAGTGCAACCACATTTAGAGGGTATTCCTATATTGATTTTTGCCTGGTTTTGGTTTGAGTTTTAGAGGTCCTTGTTTTGTTTAATGCCTGTCTTCTAGACTCATGCGGTTATGCAGAAAATATTTGAAAAAAAGGGAAGATTCAATTCATCCTGTCATGAAAAAACTATAAGACCTCATGCTTCAGAGAAGCACTCCAGTCTGGATAGCCAATAAAGGGGTGCAAAAATAAAAATGCATTTCAGTTGGCATCACTATAAATTGATCAAATGAGCTGTAGGCCCGGGTCAGTTTTCCTGAACCTGTCTGAGAGATATATGTTTATTATGGGCAAAACACATTCACACTCAGAAATAACAGCTCCTCTTGACTAGTCCTGAGCCCTGAGCCACTGCTGAACACAGCATGTTCTTGTCTGCAATGCCTACAGAGAGGTAGGACAGGACCCACCTACCCTAACTTCAGCCATCCGGTCAGGTATGCTATAACTAAGCTAACTGCCTGTCTGCCTGCTAAAATCGACTGAGCAATGCAGGCAACTTCAAAAGGTGACTCATCCCTCCCTTTAATAGGTGCCTAAGTTGCCTGGCATGAATAGCTCTCCATCATTCTCCACTGAATAGAGAAGGAGCCCAGATTTGGCCTACGCATTAACCAGTATATGGTTAAAGTTAGTGAAGATAAATCCCATCTGCAGTTAGTGCTGGATCTGATAACTCAACAGCTAAAACCCCATTTGAAATGCAGGCATCGCTTTTAGAAATAGGTATCATAAACTTATTGGTATCAGATGTTGTCCATAAATGGGCAGTTCAAAAGGGGGGCTGGGGGCATGGGGAGGGATAGTAACCCCTTGATTGTGAAATAACATGATTACTAAATAAATATGATTCTTCAGCAGGCTGTTTTTAATGTCAGGGTTGTGTTTCTAAAGAAGGAAAACATGTTGTATCACTGATCCTTATCACAGTGTCCATGCTGTCTGCTATCAAGAGAAGGCAAGCTCTAAGCTCTAAACACAAGATCTCTCAGATTTTTATTCATACCTGCAGAAATAAAACCAGAAGGTTATTCTTTTTAAAAATCAAAATAGTCTCTGTGCAGTGTTTCTGATTCAAACCATATTGCTAGCAAGGTGGAACCTTGAAAACATTAAGATTTTTCTATGGTAAAAGTTAAAGATTAGAGGGCCCTGAGGAAACAGAACACGTGGGCCCAAAGTTTGAAACCCAAATATTAAGGATAGTCAGCCAAGTCAAAACACTGGCATCTACATTAAGGGATTGCGAATTACAGAGGGACTGAGCACCCGCAGAGTCTACTTATTCCCTGGCACTTCTGAAAACTACTCCAGTTTTAATTAAATACCTTTATTTGGATAAACGCTCCAATTTTGTACAAAGGAATACATATGCTACTTGCTTTACTAGAAGAACCCCGAAAGGGTTTGGCCCCTTATCTTTCTACACTGAAATGGGAAGAACATGGAGAGATGCCTTTGATGTTGACAAAGTTTTTTCAGATAGATCAGAACTAACCCCCCAGAAAACAAAACAAAACAAAAACAAGCAGCAAACAAACAAACAAACAGAAAAACCACCAAATAGGCCTCTCACATAATTCACCAATGGCTCATCGAAAGAATTTTGGAGAAACAGAAACCTTCCACCACAACTTCAGCAAGTTTGGAATTAAAAGCTTTTGATAGGCTCACCCACATAAGTTGCACAGTGAAAGGTACCTTTGACACGCCATAGCTGATCCTGCCTGTGGCTCTCCTGGGGCTGACCTGAGAAATGCATTGCCTTGAATTAGCTCAAGGAACTATTCTCATATTTCAAGTTTGAGAAAACTCACAACACTGAAGTAATTTCAAAACCAAAGCTTAATTCCTTTGAATGATAAAGAAAACCCCAAGGTACTCTAGATTATATAGTAAGAGAAAATAGGTGTCATATTTTAGGCTGAATTACAATCTTTATGTCCCATCCCAATAGAAACAAATTAATACCTGCTACTGTAGAGCTCAAAGTAAGTCTCCCTCACCAATGTCAGGAGGATCTTTCCTAAACTGGAAGTCGTGACAGCAAAATGTGCCATCTGCCGTCCTTCTGGATTTGCGCTCCCTGTGGGGTGAACAAGCACGAGGAATCTTCCATCTGAAAGAGACTGGGCAGCTGTCTTTCCACTACTCTTCATGTAAAAGCAGAGGAAAAGTTTTTCCTTTCTTAGTTTAAAAAATTCTCTCAGCTAAGACCAGTAATTTCTATTTCCCAATGTAAGCACAAGCCTGGGCTTCTCTGCTGTTCCTCTCCTTTGCTGGACAGTATGGCTTTGGATAAGGAGCAAAGGATTTGTCTGTATGCACCTTCTCAATTCACAGTATTGCCAAACACAACATCAAGGATGCCAATCTTAGGGAAAGGCACTTGAAAGTTAAGTACTGAGACAACTAAGTTTTAAGACATGTAAACCCTTCACTGGATCTATTCATAAACCTCTCTAGCCTAACTCTTCATAGATGGCTAATGAACTGGACTGTCTCATTTTTCATGCCTACTCTGAGATATCCTAGCCTGACTATCAGAGGTTTTCTACTGCCCATAAACCCAAAAATGCATTTTCCTTTCAGCGTAGACAGAAATTACCCTTCCTCTCAATCATTGAATAAGAGGAGCATTTCTAGACTCAAAAAGGAAAGTCTGTTCCTCTCTGTGGATATGCACATCAACATTTCTATTCTGTAAAACCAGTTCAGTGATGGTATTCTGTTTAATTTTTGTAATGTGAATGGATGTCAGTGGCACTCAGATACTTAATCTGCCAAAATCCCTTGGGCAAATGTAACCTGGCCATCTAAGTCACACAGGATTTGCCACATGCAGAAGTGACATCCAAGGGCAATGGACAATCTGGGCTGAAAAATACATCCAGTTTGAGTGGCCTATGAAAATACAATTGTTTCTAGCCGAAGGCTACACTACCATTTTATGACTTCAAGTATGGACAGAAAGATTTCTGTGCTTCTTTGGGACTCCCTGTCAACATGCATGTACAGAAGACCTAAGTAAATACAGTAAAAAGGTATGTGTATTTGAAGACTTAGCTTGTATTCTGTACCTGTAACAGAAATACAGAAGCAGAATAAAGAAAAATTTCAAACCTAAAGAAAAATTTCTATCGTGTTCAGCAGAAGTACCTGTATTCTCTAATTCTAACTTGAGCCCTTAGAGGTGGCAAGAGCTGCAGCAAGGCAGGCACCTGTAGAGATTAGCTGTGATCTTATATGAGCCCAAATGTCGAGGAGAGTCTCTGTTTCTTTTGGTTGCTCATGCCATGGGCCTGGGGTGAGCAGGCTCCTATCTGGGCAACTAATGCGGTGCTTAAACAGAACTGGGATGATCAAGTGAGAAGCCTCCCATCTGGATATGGACAGAGGCATGGCTGAAGAGCTCTGTCAAAAGGGCAGCATCATAATTTAACCGTAAAATTTAATATGTGCTCAAAAATTTTGGAAACGGAAAGCTTTCTGGGATACTAAAGAAGCAGCAGAAATTTGGGGCCTGTAAGATGCAGCAGCTGTCTGGGGCCCTCTCTGACTTCCCAGAAAAGGGAAAGAGTTAAATGTGCTGGGTTGAGAGGGCCTCCTCCTTTCCATCCCCAACTCTGTCAGGCTCTGATGGGATTTATTCATTCCTCCTCCCTACCCTGCTCCCCTCCCAAAAAAACCAGTTACTCTACCAGTTCTTCTCAGCTACAACGACATAATAAATAAAAATAACACCGCAGAAGTTGGGGGAAGCTCCTGAAGGATAATGCCCTGGTCGGGTTACAAAGCACCTTTCGGGCAGGTTTTATGCACAGGATCAGCGCCCTTCCTCATGCCAGGGGCACCTCCCAAGAGCGATCCCGCCCCGGCTCCTCTTTCCTCTGCCCTGGGCGGCGCGGCGCGGCCCGGCCTCCGCCTCCCGTTAGATGGCGCTACAGACTTTACAACTACGTGTGTGGAGGGGAGGAAAAAAGAATAGTAATTTAAAAAAAACACTCTTATTGTCCGAAACGGGGGGAGCCGGCCCCGCGGAGGGATGCCCCTTTCCCGTAGGGAGCGCCCGGAGTCGCCCGCACCCTCAAGGCGGCTGTCGGGGCTCGGCCCCTGGGGGCCCCCAGGGCAAAACAAGGGGCAAGTGGGCGAGCGAGGGCCCGGCGTAGCCGTCCCTCTTACCGGGAGAAGATCCTGCAAGGGCCGGGGAGAGGGGGCTGGCCGGTTTCCGCCCGGGGAGCAGGGCGAAATCCACGGGCAGTCTCTCGTCTCTCCCCCGCGTTATTTCTCCTTTCCAAAAAGCCGCTCATGGAATCTCCACAGCCTGCCTGGGCTCTGCTGGGTGGGTGTTTAATCAGTCCCTCTCCTTCCCCCCAGACACTTTTTATTCTTGTTTGGAGTCCCGCGTTTCCCCCCTTTGCAGAACCCCGCAAGTTTTCGGGCAACCGATCTGTGGCTGCCGCGGGGTCCGCCGGAGCGGGGCTGCTCCAAGTGCGCGGCTCGGCCCCTCGCACACAGAGGACAGGAGGGATTAGGACGGTGTGTGAAGCCGCTGGTCCGCAACTCACTAAGCCCATGACCGACCCGCCAAAACTTCTTCCCCCGGTCCCCAGCCGAAAGGCGGCCGGGTGCCCTCAGCCCTGTCGCTGAGCATGTAAAGAGACCACTTTGAGAAGGGGTTAGGGCTGTCCCGGCGCAAAGGCCGCACCCCACTCCCGTGCCTGCCGTCAGGCCATGAACTTTCCAGTGGGGTAAGTTCTCCTTTAAGAAAGCGAACTGTTCCTTATGCATATTTAAGACTTTGTCTGCAGCGCCCAGCTGACGCGGGACTGGAGGCTCACAGTCAGGACCCGAGCTCTCGGGGACTAAATCATCCTAGTTTAAACGCACCCTCTGCCAGGGCTCCAGTTGGGAGCTCCTTGCCATTGCTCTAAACACATGTAAGTCAGAACGGGGGGGAGGGGGTTGGGGGGCTGGGAGAAGGAGGAGGGAGGCTGAGTCTAGTTAGGGAGATCTGTAAGGTATTTTGGTCATTCCAATCACCAACGTCCGCTCCCAAAACCAAACAAACAAAAAATAAACAATTAAGCAAGAAATCTTATCCTTGGACTTATTAAATACTTTTTTATTATTATTATTTGTCGTCCAGCCTAGGGGGTCCTGCCCCCCGCTCAGCACGCCTGTAACCCTAAGGTAGCCGAGCGGTGGGGGTTCGAGGCTCCCTCCCTCCTTTTGCCCTTCACGAGAGCGCTTTTCTGGGAGCACAAGTGTGTGTGTGAGGAGCGCAGAGGAGCACCGAGAGGGTAAGTGAATCCCTTGCTTCAGCCTGGGTGGGCAGGAGGAGACCTCTCACGTCACCCGAGGATCAGAGGGCTCCTCCGTCGCGCCGAAGGTGGGATCCCGAGCAGCCTCTTCAGCCTGCAGCGAGCTGGGGGAGCCTCTCGGGGATGCGACCGCCTTGGAAAAGCCCCCTCCATGGCTAGGCACCCTGCCACCTCCGCACGTGTGTACTTCTGTAAGTGTGTGCGAAACGACAAAGTGTATGTGAAGGTCAGGCGGGCGAGCTCAAGTGGGAAGGAGCAACTTTCAGTGCTGTGCTCTTAGCGGTTTCCTGCCTTTTAAAGTGAACTTGTTCGAGTGTGCTATTCAAAATGTGGTTCAGTAGTTATGCCTTCAAATTAAGTTGCTTCTCGGTCCTCATCGAGAAAAGCAGACATGTGTCCTCAATTGTATAGTATATATATATAAAAAAAATCTACTAGGTACTTTATGGTTCCATCTGGAGAAATTAAAAGCCCAGAGCTGTAATGTTTATTCTTACATAGTTTACAAAAAACGGGGGAAATGTGTGAGACACATGTCTCCAAATATAACCAAAGTGCTTTCCCTTCTGGTTAAAAAGTTGCATGTGAATGTTTTCATTTTAGCACTCCCTGCCACCTGTACTTCTCAGGGAAACTTTTCTTGGCGTTAGTGGTGAAGCACCAATAGTACTTATTAATGAATTAATTATTATTATGGCTGCTGAATTGACTTAAAGTGCTTTGAAGGTCAAACTAATCCATGTTATTGAGTTACAATTAATTGTGTTTCAGCTGTTGTTTTAAACACAGTTTCAAAGAGAGAGGCGAGGAGGCTGTGTATGGGGTGTAGGGCAGGGGCGTGATCCGGAGACCCTTCCCAGCCCATGGCACCGAGCCCATCGCTCAGAAGTTTCCTTTTGGCTTACGAAACAGGCGGAACCTTGTCCTGCCTCGAGTGACACAAAAGTACGAGAGGAAACTTGGGTGACAAACACCTCCTTCTCCCACCGAAAGCTGCAAAGGTTAAGGGAGTCCCGGGCTTAGGAGCGCAGCCCCGGAGGGAAGTTTCCTCTTCGGAGTTAGCATTGCGGGGAGGGCACCGGCTTTGCTGTGCCATCTTTGCTTGGCCGCTTTGCTCAGGGCTTTTGTGTTGCCGACGGAGACGAGGAGGCAGCGGTGGGCAGCGAGGCTGAAGGGCTCCACAGAGCCCTCTCGCGGGGGGGGGCGGCTGCAGCCCGTGCCCAGGAAGGTATGGGGGGAGAGAAGAAAAAAGCCCCCTGACGGGACAAGAGGCAGCTGGGCCGGGCTCTATGCGTCCCAGGGAGGCCAGAGGGGCGGCCGCAGGGCTGAGGGCAGGAAAAACCAGGACGGGCAGGCAGGCAGCCGAGAGAGATGCCAAAGGGGATGGTCATCCCCTGCCCTACCACTCGCCGGCTGCCCCGCCGCCGGTGAGACCTAGGTGGTAGGAGTGCCGGGCTCAGCGGGGCGGCGGCTGGGAAAGCTGGGGAAGAGTAAGGCCAGGGAGAGGAGTTGAGAGAGTAGGGCAAAGTCTGGGAAAGACCCCGCGGGCGATGTGCAAGGGGGAGGCCCCAGGGCCGCCGTTTGGCCAGCTTGTCGCAGGGGTGCCCCTGTTTGCCCAGTGCGGCGGCTGCAGGGGAGTATCCCCTCCACGAGGAGTGGAATGCGAAAGTGGGGTGGGACTGGCTCAGGTGGACCAGGCAAAGACGGGGGTCGACCCGTCGGAGCTGGGGTACGCGCACCGACTGCTCACACGCTCAGTGGGAGCTGGTAGCAGGGAGGCGCTGGAGCCCAGCTGCCCCTCTCTTGCCAGGGAAACGATCTTTTCCACAACGATAACGACTCTCTTTCACAAAGTTAGGGGCAGGAGAGAGGGAGAGCCAGCGGTTCTTCCCAGGCTGGGAGCCGCACTCGCACCTTGCCTGTCCCTCGGTCTCCGGCGGCCCCGCGGGGACGAGCCTGTCCCGGGGGGCACTAGACGTCACCAAGGATTTCTTGTCCTCAGAAACTTACACTTCACAAATGTAAAGCTCTCCCCCGATCCAGGCTTCAATGTGTATTTTGTTTTGTTTCTTTGTTTGTTTTTAATGCCAGTCCGCAGAATGGCAATTGGAAAACCTCTATGCCCACCCTTTCTCTCTGAAATCGGGTTGCTGGAATTTTTTTGCTGTTTGATTTTTTTTCCCTTTCTTTTCCCACCCCAGCTCCTTTTCAAAGATGCCCTTCCTTTCTCTCTCTTTTTTTTTCTCCCTTCATCCCATCCTAAAAACTCAGCTTTTGCTTAAGACAAAAGGACAAGGAAAAAAAACAAACAACCCAACCCCTATACATGCAAACAGACCTTTCTTGGAGAGAAGTAAAACAAACAAAAAACTTCTACCTGCAACAGAAGAGAGGGTACAAAATTTCACACACACACACACGCACACACCGGTCTCGTATCGAATACAGCTGTAATTAATTGAAAATTGAAGTAAGAGATGTGTTTTCCACGTGGGAACATAGTAACTAAGGTGCAGTGGGCAGTCCGGTAGGTAGGACACGTCGTTCCTGCTCATCACGCGTGGAATCGTTTCCTCCAGCTGGGATGGGTGCTTGTGCAGATCTCGTAGAGGTGCAGGAGACAAATCCTCGGCTCTCGTATATCACAAAAGCACGATGCGTTGGATGAAACATAGGTATTAACCAACTTTCTCCCTCTCCCTCCCTAGTTTTATTTGTTTCTCTTGGTTGCGGGACCTAGATGGTCAAAAACAAACAAAAGCACTTGCGTTTGTGTCGGCACTTTGTCGTCGGGGCAGCACACGCGCGTCAGATTATTGCCAGGGATTTATTTGCATGCAGCTGCAAACCCACAAGCCGGCTGCTGACCGCTGCGCATAAAGGGCTGCCGGGGCCGGCCCCTGCCCGGCCGCCGCGGCTCCCGGCGGGAGCACGGCCCGGGGGCCGGGGTGAGGGGAGTATTTGGGAGTGGGTTTGCTCCCAACACGGCCTGGGGGGTGGTCACAGAGCCGGCAGCAGCAGGGTCCCCAGAGCAGCCAGAGGCTGCAGGTGCGGGGGATGGGGGGGAGTCGGGGGCAGCCCCGGCCTGCAGCCCCCCTCCCCTCCACCCCAAAGGCAGCCGCAGCTCCCGCTGGCCTTGATCACAAACACATCCGGGAAAAGCTTTCCCTAATGCATATGTCCCGGGAAAAAAAGAATCGGTGGCGGATCCTCGGGATTTCCCAGAGCTATTTTCAGTGCTTTGAAAATTGCAGTATTGTCGATGTTCTTTCCCCACCCCCTTCTCCCCTCTCTTCGGCCCAGTAACGTTTGGCAGCCTTTGACGAGGGAGCTCTTAACCTTTGAAGCAAAGGCTTTAGGTTCAAACTACCTCCTTCACTACCCCTGTCAGCCTCCCCTCTCCCCACATACAGGCACATCGCGAGGATGGATTTGGCGGCATCTGGGATCTGTCTCCTCAGGCCTCCCTCTACCTCGGGCTATGCTACTAGGTCTGCTTCATCTTCTCCCGGAGACACAGGCGAAGGCGCAGGGTTCCCAGGGCTTGAACTTGCTCCCCTCCGAGTGCAGCGGGAGCAAAAGCTGCCCCCGAAGCAGGAAAGGATGGGGTCAAACCAACCCCTGCATACTTGAGGGGGGGGGGGTATCTCTTCGTCCCTCTGCTCCGACGGCCAGCATAGGACTGTAGGAGAAAGGGCAAGATGAAACTCGGTTTGGGGAACTTAATTATTTTGGCAGAGGAAAGGGATGTTCCCGCTCCAGGCAGGCTTCTTCGTCTGCGCGTGAGCAAGGGGGCTGCTCCGGGCTTTTCTGCCAAACAGGGGGCTACAGAGCAGGAGCTGCCAGGCAGGGAGGGCAAGGCCGGGAGGGCCCCTCCGCGGGGAAAACCGTTCCGGTAGGGTGAAGCTGGAAGGACAATGAAGACACACAGACACACACATACGGACACGTTCGCCCTCCGCCTCCCTCGCATTCGCGCGGCGGTGCGTGGGGATGTCGCGCTGCCCCTTGGCCACGCCGCGCCATCGGGAGGGGGTGAAACCCTCCCACCCGCTGACAGGCCGGGGGGGGCGGGCAGGGCTGGGGCGGTCGGTGGGCAGCCCACCCCGCCGGGCCGCCCTGTCTAACGCGGAGTACCCCGGGTGCGGCCCGGTCTCTGGAGGGACACGGCTGGGCTGCGCAGGCACAGGAGCGCTCATCCCCCTCACTCCCCTGCAAAGCACAGAGGGGGTGTCTCCAATCTCATTCCCACTAGAAACTAGGCAATAGAAGTCTGGGGGTGCTTGCGCAAACTGGGATACGCCTCTGGGCTACAGCGGGCAGCGCTTGTGGGGAGCGGGTCAGTAACACGAGTGGCCAGGAAAAGCGCGGGGAAAAGCAGAAGGGGATGAAACCATTCGCAGGCTCCTTCCTTGCGGATAGGGGGTGTGTTGTCATCTTTGTTTTGGTTCTGTTGTTTTGTTTTCCAGGAGATTGGGACAATAGCTGGAGCGGATTATGCATTCCCGTAGGCAATACTTCCCTATATGAGCTTCAGGATGCAGTTGGAAGCTCGGGAACAAAGCGGGCATCGAATGTCAAGGTAACTGGTCCCCTTCCTTTGTTTATGCTATTGTTAATGACGGGGCTCACTCAGCCCTGGCCTCAGCCGTGCTGTATGGCATTAATACGGACTTGAGAGAATAGGCAGGGCAATTAAAAAACAAACCCCAAACCCAGAACAGCAGCAGCATCCAGCCAAAGACCAGTTCTTCAGGTAAAACACGCCTCTTCTGAGCTGCTAACAATGATATTGTCATCTCGCCTAGTATTCACAGAAATACACATACCGTTTGAAAGATTAAAAGTATCTGTATCCATCATTAACACCAAGGGGAGACACCCTAACCCTGTTCTTCAGTCCCAAATCAAAAGGGAAAGGGCATTACCTTCAAATACCCAATATTACAGCATGAGAGGATTCTCATCATGTTAAAAAAAATAAAATTAAAAAAATCTAACAAAATTATTCTTTTAATCATGATTATCTAAAATAGCAGAAACCTTAGTGTTTATTGACTCATTTTTCTTCTTCTCGAGGTAGTGGATGGTATTTAAAGTTCAACATTTCACACATCTCCTTGTTTAGTTTAATTTCCTCTACAATCTAGCAATTTCAGCAAACTGAGTTAAAAATTTTGGTACACATCTGAGTATGGATCTGCATAAAATAGAGAGGGCAGTAGAACTGGGGAGAAGATGTTTTGTTTTTTTAGGAAGAGAAAGGAGTGTAGGTTTGCATGTTTGTGAGGATGCATATGTGTGCGAGAGAGAAACAAATCTAGAGATTTGCACCTTACATGTGGTCTGTAGCTTTAGTGTGGATGCTGGAATAAATATCTATTACAGTTCTCTGAGAAATGTCCCACTTGGGCAGACAGACCTCTGTTTTGAATGAGAGCTCCAGGAGACGAAAGAAATGTATGTTACTCCAGAACAATTCTTTACCAACTCATTCTTTTTTTTTGGAAAGATAAATTTCAGCTCTGCTAGTCTGGGCCCATTTCCTGTCAGGGAAGGGATATAATAATGATCAATGCCCAGCACTTCTCATATCTTTTGTACTTAGTAAATATTTGCAATGTCTTGAACGTGGAGGAGAGGTGAAGAGATGAGCCCAAACTCAGCTTCAGAAGATCCTCACTGCACTCACACAGAGGCGGGAAAAATCCAAACAAGCAAACCAACCTTTCAGAAGACCCTCTAGTCTACAGCTCCCTTACAGCTATGCACTTTTTGTATTTTATCTGCCTGCTTAGTGAAATGGTCTAAAAACATCAGGCTACCTGTTTTTTTGTGACCAGCTCAGGGTGTACATTAGTACTCCAGTTGAAAGTGGAGCCTGGAGTTGTTGAGCAAACAGTTCCTGCTTGACTGTAGCGTGAACTGAATGCTGTATAGTCAGCTATATGGAGCGGTGACAGGGAAGTAGCACCAAGCATTTCCGAAACTAATAACAAAAGGTTAATATATATAAAATGTTTATACAGCTCATGTTCCCTCAAGTTGTTTAAATTTCAGTTCGATGCACATAAATATAGTAGCCATACCAGGTTCCCCATTAGCCAATCCCTGCTTTTTAAAATCAATTCATTTCAATTTGAAAGAATGGCCCCATATGCAAGACAGTCAACAATCCTTTGACTTTCTCCACTCAGTGTGGACCTCTGGAAGAAATAGCATCTATCTTTGTCATTTCACATGCCATTGCAGTGCCTTGACATTGTTTTTTAAGAGCAGGCCTACTACCAGTGAGGGTAACAGTCCCCAGCTGGTTCCCTTTTTCTAATCCATTTCCCCCTTTTTCCTTTTGAGAAGAAATAGTTCTGCTGAGCCCCCAGGTCTGGACTTTGGGGAACATGGCGCAGTGGTCTGATATAAAAGCACTGTCTCTGTGGGTAGAAACTCTCCTGTGTACCATGAGCCTTGCAAGAAAGGCAGCTAGGGGACATTTCGAGTAACCATGCATCTGGCATCAAGCGACAACAATCCACTTCACACTACTGCAGAGGAGTTTGTTCCCAAACCAAATGCTTTATGGTGCTCAGTGCTGGTGTCAAATTGGTTTGAACTGTCCCAAGTCTAAAATAAAGATCTCCATTGTGGTATACCAGTGAGCTTTTCTTGTTAAACCTTCCCTGCTTGTCTTGAAGGTATAGGGCCGATGTAATACCGTCTTTTCCCCCCACGGATGGGCGCAATAGGAAAAGTTCAGAAAAGTTCTGTTTATCTTTTTTCCCCTTGTAGTTGAAGAAATGCAAGCTATCAGAAACAAGCCTAAGTTTGAAGGTACAGTTTTCAACATGTGAGTTGGAAACATATGCACTGGCACTATTCAACTGATCTGTAAGGGCTGTGCTTGAATTTTGGCTTTTAATCTCAACTCTGCTAAAGACAGATGCAAAATGGAATGGAATCTGATTATTTATGCTGTAGCCTTGTGATACACATCTTATAACCGTTGGAGAGAGAAGCAAAACACTTTGCTAAAGCTTTGGGTGAGCCTGAGTTTCAAGAGGACTCTAGTCTTCACAGGTTCTTACTTCACTGTCTTTCTTCCCTTAGAATTTGTTATATGGGATTTTTTTTCTGCTGTTCTACATTTTAAAGTGAGTAGAGACTAAATCCTGCTGAGAGAGTGAGCTCTCTCCACCACAAACTCACGTTTGGAAAATGCCTTCCCCTTTTGACTGCTCCCCTTCAAATTATCCTCCCCCTTTCAGGGCAGAAAAGAAAACTTTAAAAGAGAAAGAGAGAAGTGGGAGTGGGGAGGACGGGGAAACCCCTGATTCCTCAGTGATCTGTACAGCTCGGACAGACCTACAAGTTCCCCTTTGCCTCTTGCAGACAAGTCCCGTCGGAGAAAAAACCCCCATGCCTGAACTTTTAACGTGGCTTGGGGTTTATACAATTCTGGCTCCATTTCAGAAATCTCGAAAGGGGAAAAAAAAACCCCAACACCAAAAACAACAAAAGAAACAAAAAGGGAAAAGAAAGTTTGGATTTAACTCTTTGTTGCCAAAAACCCCACCACAACCAAACCCCCAGCCATTAGCAAAAGGGAGCAGCGTCACTGGCAGTCGGCACCTGTCCTGAGGCGGCCCTCCCCGCCACACAACGCCGATAGCCAACAGGGAGAGGCAGCCTCAGCCCTGACTGCCAAGCACCTTGGGTGCAGCCGAGCCCCGGAGCTCCCCCCGCTGCCCCGCGGAGGGGGCAGCACTCCCTCTGAACATTGTGGGGGAAGGCAGCCCTGCCTGGGATCTGCGGGGCTGGCAGGGAAGTTTTTGGTACTGCTAAAGGCATATATACACACACACACACACATCTATCTATATCATACACACACATCTTTATATATAGATTTATATGTAGGTGTCTAGTCTATGTTTAAATTATTCTATCTATACACACGGTCCTCCCCTTATGAGGTCATTCTCCCATATATACGAGACTGGGTGCATGGTGCCAGAATCTAACTCCAAGATCTTATCTCTGGCGATCTGAAAGCAATCTAAAGTAAATGTTAGCAGAAGGGGAAATAAATTTTGGAGAGAAACATTCAACAAGGTGTCTCTGAAGCCTTTTCCCCCGCCCTCCCCAGCCGATGCACCCACGCTCTTTATGCCAAAGAGAGCCATTTCGGAGCAAGAGACTCCTGCTTCAGAGCAAGGACAGGCTGCACCCCGCATCGTGGATCTCTGCCTGGCTGGGGCTGCACCTTGACAATTTTAATCCCCTCTTCCCTTTCCCGAGCGATGCTCTCCTCTCTAATGCACTAATCGGCTGCAGCTTATTTATTTTTATTTTTTCCCCTGTGGCTCCAAATGTCTTAACGTTTTTGATTTCAGGAAACTCCAAACGGAAGGAGGGATGCTACTTGAAAGTGTGACTCAAAAAAAAAAGGTTTCGCTTTACAGCCATCAGTAGCACCAGGAGACAGCTCCATTAAAAAAGTAGTTTTCCACTGCTCTTGAAAAGCCGTTATTTTTTACATCGCTTTTAGGAAGATAGATTAACAAAACATCACATTTCAAGCCACTCTGATCTGTAATTAAATGGAGGAGCCCGTTTGTATTCTCCTATGGCTTTTACAGAAGTTGCAGTGATCCAAAGTCAGGTTGCTGTGTCAGAGTGGCATTTTTATTAATGAGAATACAAAAAGCTTGCATATTCTTAGCCTGGCTTGAATTTAGTTGCTAAGCAACCGCTGTATGGTAATTCATCCGCGAAATTTAAATCTTGGAGAAAGGATCCTGCGTTTTGCTGAATGGTCGCCACGAGGAAAACAACTTGTGGGACCCGCGGCAGCTGCCGCCGCGCCACCGCGCCGCCCGCCCGCCGGCTCCCCCGGGCCGCCCGCCGCCCCGGGACGGCCCGCAGGGAGGGAGTGCAGCCGGGCACCGGTGGCCGCCCCGTCGGCGCTGCCCCGGACCGGCCTCCCACGTGTGGGGAAACGCAGCGCCAGCGTTTCCCCGCGCGTGGCGCGGCCCGGGCCCGGCCGCAGCCGCCCGGTTCGAGAGGGGTAGGGACGAGAAAGGCCCCAGTGCGGCCCCGGGGGCGAGGCCCCGTGGGCACCTCCGCGGACCTGGCTGCTCCTTTGGTGTCGGGGAGGACGGGATGGGCGGCGAACCTTCCCCCGCTCGGCCTTCACCCCTTAGCTTTTTGTGTCGCCAAACCCTCTCAACCAAAGAACTCCCTACTGCTGTGTCATTGACACTGCGGGGCCGCTCGCCCTCCTCTCCTCTCGCTCCCGCCGCCTATTGAGCGCTGCGCCCGCTCCATTGTGCCAAACTGCAACTGAAAACACCGATGGGGCAATAACCACCTCCCTGCATGTCCTCCACTCTCTTCATCCATCCATCCATCCCTCTCGCCACAGGCGACCAAGCTCCTCGCCAACCCTGGCTATAGCAAAATGGGTCCCTGTCCTCAAGCGCTTACCCCACGCCTGCCTCCGAGGCCGGGACTTGTTGCATCCCTTTTAGAGTTGTATTAATTACCCTGGAACTTAAGCAAACTAAAGTACATATGGGGAAGAAGCTCATGCCTACAGTTTGGTCCTGCAGCCTGCCAGTTACAGAGGTAATCTTTACACTCGCTTCCAAATCGGAACGAGCATCGCTGCACCTCAGAAAGGTATCCCTGTATAAATATATAAAGTATCGATTTTGCTGTAGCTTGAAGATGTTGATCATTTATTACAAAAATAAACGAATAAATACAACAATATATTGTTGCTTTCACAGGATAAATATTTTACAAATATATAATTTAAAAAAACAAATTTAATTGTTAAAATTATTTAAAATAGTACACTTATTGATAAAATTATCAATAGTATATACTGCATTTCATATTAGAACCAATTATTCTCTAAACGTTCCATTTAAAACCATTCATACAAAACAAATTATGAGCATTGTAATGTGCAAACACGAGTCACTACAGTAAAGCAAAGGGTTCTGTAAAGATCACTTTCTGACAGGAACCGCTGCGTTTTAAAACCAAAGTAGAGGTCTTTGCTAAATTTCGGAAAATACACAGACCAACAGCAGTGAGGTGACTATTTTGAATACACCTGAAAATGATTTATTGTGTACAGACTCGACGGGGGAAGGATAGGAGGTGAGAAGACTGGGGCGTAGTAAAGGATCACAGAATATGAAAATGTAAACTATAAATAATCACATTTCGGAATTACCCGGTCTGAGCAAACATAACTTTGTAAAATATTTGGCTTTCCTTTAGGTAGAAAAAAAAAAGACTAAGGAAAATGATGCCGACTCCGTTACCAAGCACAGAACACTGATATTATAAATGAATACAATTACTAAATTCATTAAGAGATCTGGCGATATATAACAATATTTTCATTATTTACACGTGTAACAATATAACCCTTAGCGCAAACCCTTTCATTTATTATCTACCTCTTGCTATCTCAGAGACTCACAACCCTGAAATTCCTAAATACATTCAAAGGATTCAGTTTCTCGGGGGCGGGGGAGGGGGCGGAGGGGCGGCGGGGGGTAGCGCCCATGGCCTCACTTTTTGTGCATAACAAGTCCACGGAACGGGCACATTTTGCCAGTCCCTTCGACCACACGTTACTCCTCCAGCCTAACCCCCAGCTTTTCGGAGGCAGCAACCCGCAAAGGTTGCCTTTTAATAGAAACCAGCGTGAAGCCTAACGTTAGCTCTTTGTTGCCATCCAAATCGAGTAACCAAATACCGCTCCGAAATTTAAATAGACTTTCTCCGCGGCTAATAAAACCGCTCCCCTTCGTGAGTGAAAACAGGATCCCACCTGACGTGTCGGTGGTACCCGGCCCCCGGAGGGGGGCCCAGTCGGCCCGCCTGCCCGCCAGCCCCCGCCCGACCCTTTTTCCCTACCCAGCAGCAAAATCAGCCAGCAGCTTCTGCTAAAACGAACAAAAGAAAGAGCGTCCTTTACCCTTTCGGGCTCTCTTTCCCTTTGTTGGTTTGGCTTCTCCCCACCCCGCTTTTTTTCCTCTGTGTCAGTAGGGCCTTCTGGATTTCACAAATCAAACCGACAGTGATATTTACTACGAGCTAGTGTTAAAATAATGCATCCCGGTGCCCGATTCTCAGGTTGGCTTTGATTTATGGAGTGACACAAGGCCTATCTGAAAGGAAGAAATGCTTGTTGTTCCTGCAGCAGTTTTCTGGGGTTTTAACCCCTGCCTCAACAGCACTCAGAGAAGCAAGGCGAGGGAGGGGGCGCGGAGGAGGGGAGGAAGAGGAAGGTGAGGAAGGAGCCCAGGGGCGAGCTGGATCACAAAAGAAAACCTTATTCTCCAGGAGACTATCAGTGGGGGCAGGTGGATGCATTAGATGCAGCTCTCTACTTCCCATAACCTCCCCGCTGCAAAATGAAGAGAGTTGAGACGGTCATTCACTTGTCCCTATATTGCAATAAATTATAGTGGATAAGTATGAGAGGTCAGCTAGTGCATCTATTGGCATCTCCAACATTACTGACACACGCGTATGTTTGCAAAGATGGCATGGCAGCGCTATGGCAGAGTGGAGGAGAAAACTAGGCTACACCACTTCACACCCCATAGAAAAACCCTAAAACAACAACAACAACAGCCACAGCAACAGCAACAACAGAAATGGTGAACTAGGCAGACAGCACGTAGGATGTTGAAAGTATTATTCTGTATATTCAGTCAGAAAAAAAAAAGAACGTACCTTTTCCTTAAATTATAAAGATAAATTAAATACAAATATTAATACATACATAAAATGCATAAAAATAAATTATAGCTTGGCCCCCCTTCCCCTTCTTTGCCCCCCCCCAGCCTCAGTTTGGAAAACGAGGAAACAAGAGTGAACTTTTGGAAACATCCCTCTCAGCACCGGCCACGCGGGACCAGAAGACACGCTCAGGTATCACCCGCACCCAAGTGCCAGCCCAAACTGAGCCGACACAGCCCTTTGTGGGAGAAGGTGGCCTTTGGTGATCCCTAGTCTCGTCGTCCTTCCCGGTGACACAGAGTTCCCGGGCTGATGGAAGGGGCTACGGACACGGGCTCGGAGGAGGGACGGGCAGGGGGTGAGCCCCGCGCCGGGCCGGCAGCGGCAGGGGTGCGGCGGGGGCACTGCCGGCGAGCACAGGGCCGTGCGCCCGGCAGATCGGACCCTCGGTATTTCTCTCCCTTCAGCAGTATATCCCTTCAGA